CCCAACCTTCCTTCCGAGGAGTGGCTGGTGGGTTTGAACCGCCAGCCGTCTGGTTAGCAGGCAAGTGTCTTAGCCACTCTGCTACCAGAGCTCCCACAGTGTAGGTATAGAAACACTTATTCAGTCTGCTATAAGAGAAAGTTTTGTCTGGGTAAAAGTGCTTCCAGTGTTTTGGGATGAGGACTTCTGGAGCCCAAAATCTTTTCAGAATACTGAGGAATTTCTTTATAATCCCCCCACTGGATCTTCAACTCCAGGGCTCTCTACATGGTCCTTCTGTAGGTTTTATCCATCATCTTTCCTGGGGCTATTGGAACATTTCTCAGATTAACAGAAAGAAGAGCAGGGGCTGAGTAGTAGGGAAGTGTGAGTTTGATGGTGACAGTTCTACAGAGTCTTTGTCATTGGGTATGAGATGTGCCCAGTACAAGAAACTCCAGCATTTTTTTTTAATTCTATTTTTATTGTGATTTGAGTGAAAGTTTACAGAGAAAATTCCATTAAGTTCATACAAATTTTATTTCATGACATTAATTGAAATCCCCACAATGTAGGAAGGTTGGGCAATTCACTTCTGTAGAGACACTGCCTCAGAAACCCAAGGAGGAGTCGTTATGAGTTGGGTCTTACATGATGGCACATAACAACAACAACAACAATGTAATAATTCTCTTCCCACTACCTCCCTGTGGTTATATTTTCCCTGTGTTATTCTTTTTGTATCTCTTGTACACCTTAGTGATACTGTGCTGGTCACTCACTTTTGATATATTGCCTTTCCCTTCACCCAAATCATTATGCATCTCTTAACTAGTCAGTGATTTTCCCTCCACTCCCTTCCTATCCCTGGCAACTGACAAAGAATGTTTCCTTCCATGTGTAAACCTTTCCTAGACTTTTTATAATAATGAACTAATATTTATAATAATGAACTCATATAGTATTTGTCCTTCTGTGATTGAGTTATGTCACTCAGCATAATGCCCTCCAAGTTCATACACATTGTGAGTTTTCTCATGGATTCTGTATTATTCTATAATGTGGATAGTATTGAATTGTGCATATATATCATAGTTTTGGTATCCATTAATTTGTTAATGAGCACTTAGGTTGTTTCAGTGTCTTTGCTATTGTGAACAGTGCTGCAATGAACATGGGTGTACATATATCTATTTGTGTCCCAGCTCTCACTTCTTTAGGATATATACCTAGTAGTGGGATTGCTGGATCAAATGGTATTTCTATTTCTAACTTTTTGAGAAAGTGCCATACCATTTTCCATAGTAGCTGTACAATTTTACAGTTTTCCCAGCATTATATATCTCTTCATAACCTCACCAGCTTTTGCTGTTTTCTGTCTTGTTGAACTTTGTTATTCTTGCAGGGGTGAGATGCTATCTCATTGTTATTTTGATTTGCATCTCTCTAATGGCTAACGATCATGAGTATTTCTTTATGTGTTGGCTGCCTGAATATCTTCTTTGGTGAAGTGTCTGTTCATGACCTCTGCCGATTTTTTAGTTGCATTCTTTGCCTTTTTTGGTGTTGAGGTGTTAAAGTTTTCTATAGATTTTAAAGATAAGTCCTTTGTCAGATATAACATTCTCAAATATTTTTCTCAATCTGTAAATTCTCTTTTTATTTTTTGGAGAAGTTTTTTGATTTGCATAAAAATTTAATTTTTAGAAAGTCCCAGTCATCTAGCTTATTTTCTGCTGTTTGTGCATTGTAGTTATTTTTGATAGTTATTTCTTTTTTTAATCTTTGATAGTCTATTTATGCCATAAATTAGGGCCCCAAGGTTTACTTCTATTTTTTCTTTTATGATCTTTATAGTTTTAGGTTTTACATTTAGGTCTTCGATCCACCTTGAGTTAATGTTTTTATATAATTTGAGGTATGGATCTTGTTTCATTTTTCTGCAAACTGGTATCCAGTTTTTTCAGCATCATTTGTTAAACAGACTATCTCTTCACCATTAAATGGGTTTCAGCCATTTGCCAAAATTAAGCTGTCCATAGGTGGATAGATCTATTTCTGTGTTCTCGGTTCTGTTCCACTGGTCTATGTGTGTACTGTTGTACCATTACCAGGCTGTTTTGACTACTGTGGCTGCATAGGAGCTTTTGAGATTGGGGAGTGTGAGACCTTCTACTTTGTACTTTTTCAGTAGTGCTTTGCTTATCCAAGGTCTCTTTCCTTTCCACATAAATTTAGTTTTTTCCATGTCCTTAAAAATGTTATTGGAATCTGTATTTGGATTTCATTGAATCTACAGATTGCTTTCAATAGTATTGACATTTTCACAATCTTCAGTTCTCCAAACCATGAGCATGCTATGTTCTTCCATTTATATAGGTCTCTTATAGTTTCTTGCAAGGGGCTCTGGTGGCATAGTGGGTAAGGCATTTGGCTACTAACCAGAAGGTCAATGGTTCAAACCCACCAGCTGCTCAGCAGGAAGAAGATGAGACAATCTATTTCCATAAAGATTGTGCAGTTTGTTTTTGGTTTTCTTATAGTTTCTTCCAGTAGTGTTTTGGCAGTTTTCTTTGTATATATCTTTTGTATCCCTAAACCACTTTTTGAGTCAATTCTGATTCATAGAGAACCCCTTGAGTTTCCAAGATTTACAGGTAGGTGGGCACGGGGCTCAGGGGCTGCTTTGCGCTTGGAGGTGGCTCTGTTTTATGGCTGAGGCCTGAAATAAGTAGGTGCAGGGCTCAGGGGCTGCTTATCACATGGAGGCAGCTCTATTTTAAGGCTGGGGTCTGAGATAGGTGGGTGCAGAGGTTAAGAACAACTAAAGGAAATGAACTTGTCTGCCAGTCTGTCATCCTGTGGTGGCTTATGCATTGCTGTGAGGCTGGAGGCTATGCCACCAGTGTTGCAAAATGCCAGCAGGGTTAACCATGGTGGACAGGTTTCAGTGGAGCTTTTGGGCTAGGAAAGACTCAGAAGAAGGAAGGGGCCATCCACTTTTCAAACAATTGGACTGTGAAAACCTTATGAATAGCAGTGAAACACTGTCAAATATATAACTGGAAAACTTTATGAATAGCCTTCAAACAATGCCAGATGAGCCCATCAGATAGAAAGACACTCAAAATTTGACTAGGGAAGAGCTGACTCTGAATAGAGACAATCTTAAGGATATGGATAGAGTACAGATTTCAGGACCTCAGGGCTCCATTAGATGATGTGGCATGACCCCAAATAAGTAGAAACAGATGCAAACATCCATTCATAATCAGAATATGAAATGTACAAAATATGAATCTAGGAAAATTGGAAGTTGTCAATGAGATGGAACACATAAAGATTGATATCTTAGGCATTAGTGAGCTTAAGTGGACTGGTTTTAGCTGTTTTGAATCAGACAACCATATAATCTACTATGCCAGGAATGACAAATGGAAGAGGGATGGTGTGGCATTCATCATCACAAAGACTGTTTCAAGATCTGTCCCAAAGTACAACAATGTCAGTATTAAGATAATATCCATATGCCTACGAGGAAGACCAGTTAATACTACTATTATTCAAATCTATGCACCAGCCACCAAATCCAAACATGAGAAAATTGAAGATTTCTACCAAATTCTGCAGTCTGAAATTGATCCAACATGCAATCAAGATGTGTTGATTATCGTTGGTGACTGGAATGCAAAAGTTGGAAACAAGACTTACTGGTAGTTGGAAAATATGGCCTTAGTGATAGAAATAATGTGGAGATCACATGATAAAATTTTGCAAGACCAATAATTTATTCATTGCAAATACCTTGTTTCAACAACATAAGTGATGGCTATACATGTGGATTTCACCAGATAGAATACACAGAAATCAGATTGATTACATCTGTGGTAATTGGTGATGGAGAAGTTCAATATCTTCAGCCAAAACAAGGCCAGGAGCTGATTTTGTAACAGATCATCAACTGCTCATATGCAAGTTCAAGTTGAAGTTGAAGAAAACTAAAACAAGTCCATGAGAGCCAAAATATGACCTTGATACTATCCCCCCTGAATTTAGAGACCATTTAAAGAATAGATTTGATGCATTGAACACCAATAACCAAAAGCCAAAGGAATTGTGGGATGACATCAAGAACATCTTCCATGAAGAAAGAAAGAGGTCAATTAAAAATGGAATCTCATCAGTAATCACCACGCTATTTCCCTCTAGCATCTTAGTGTTTGAAAAACTAGGCATAACAGTTTGAATTAGGGATTCTGATACTCTGAACAGCTCACTGAGTCAGAGTGCTCCAAACTCAGGGGAGTAGTATTAGAAAGGAGAAAGGGACAGTGGAAAAAAATAACAAGATCAGAAGATCTATCCTGCAGAGCACCGACCAGCAGGCAAGAAAGGCCATTGGAGACTGCCCTGGGTTAAGGAAGAAGACACACCACACCAGCATTCCAGCAACCACACCAGTGATCACTCCAAGGATTTACCTTCAGCACCTGATTTTATCAGTAGCTTGGGTCAGCTAGGTGCAAATGGGCATGGCCAGTGCCACTGAAACCAGAGCACAGAGCCCTTTGGGGCTGCAAGAGAGCAGGTCTGGGAGGTGCCCCTGTAGTGGAACACCCATCAGGCTTGGGTTAGCTTAGTGCTACTGAGGAACTAGCACTTGACTTTTTCACTAACATTGAAACTACAGGTTGCATGGGCACTGGCCTGGCTGCTGCGCTGCTGAAACCGAGAGGATCTTTGGTGCCACGTGTGGGTGGGCCCAGAGAGGAAATCCAAGGTGGGTCATGGAGCCAGGCAGTTGTCTTGGGTTGGCTTTTTGGTGCTGAGGTGCCTCAGGAGTGGGGTTTTTGTGTGTGCCTGAGCCCGGCACAAAGTGGTGATCCCCTAACAACTGGAGTCTTTGCTGAAATTGAGCTGTGGGCCTGTGAATAACAGTACAACACCATCATTAGCAGCCTGCTAAAAAACCCTAGAAACCACTCCTAGCAATGTGGACCTTTCCTTCTTTCTCTCTTTTGCTACCACCTTCTCCAACAATACCCTTACTCATACAATAGAAGAAACCACATTCAGCCACCATAATACATTCCAGTTCAAATTCTAAACCCTCTTTATGGCAAATGGAAACCCATATCCACAATCCACACAGTGATTCCACCATCGCAAAGCAAACTGCAGAGCAACCCAGCATACCTGAATTAGTAACTAAAAAAATAAAACACACCAGCTTCAGCTTTTCAAAATATTAAATCATAAAACCAAGACAATATAAATCAATACATAACCAACAGTTAAAGACAACCTCAAAATGTCTAAGAAATAACAGGTAACCTCAAATAAAACAAAACAACAACAACAACAACAAAAAAAAAAAAAACAGGACAAAGCATTAGAAGCAAAACCACAAACAAAGGTCTCTTTAAACATAGAGGAAGAGGAGGCAATAGAATTATCTGAGAAGGAATTTAGAAGATATGTTTATAGAGCTTTACAAGAGTCTAAGGAAACCCCAGACAGAAACAAGGAGAACACAGACAGTTCCCTGGAAGAACTCAGGAAAATCATTCAAGAACAAAATAACAAGATTAATGCACAATCAGAACTCATACAAAAACAGCAGTTAGAAATCCAGAAGATGAAAACAAATATTACAGAATTACACAACACACTAGAAGCACAAAAGAGTAGAGGAGCTGAAGAACACATATCCCAACTAGAAGACAAATCCCTGGACACCAGCCTGTATGAAGAAAAATCAGAACAAAGATTTAAGAGAAATGAAAACCTAAGAATTATATGGGATGACATGAGAAACAATAACATAAGACTTATTGGAATTCCAGAACAAGAAGAGGTGAAAAAAAAAAAAAAACACTGAGAAAATTGCAGAAGACCTGCTAACAGAAAACTTCCTCCATATCATGAAGGAAGAAAAGATATTTGTCCAAGAAGCCCATAGAACCCCACACAAGATAGATCCCAAGATAAAAACACCGAGGTACATCATAATCAAACTTTCCAAAACCAAAGAAAAAGAAAAAAATTTTAGAGCACCTGGGACAAAAGAAATATTACTCAAAATAATCAAACAGTAAGGCTAAACTCCAATTACTTAGCAGAAGTCATGCAGGCAAGAAGGCAATGGGACAGCATATATAAAACACTGAGGGAAAAGAACTTCCAACCAAGAATCCTATATCCAGCCAAATTATCCATCAAATATGAGGGTGGAATCAAGGCATTCTCAGACAAACTGAAATTAAGGGATTTTGTGAAAACCAGACCAACCCTACAAGACATGGTTAAGAAAGTCCTTCCAAAAGAGAACCCACAACAGAGATCACAAAATCAGGATACATGGCATCAACACTAAAACCAAATCAGAAATAGAAACTCAAAATAAGACCATAAAACATTGTACTCTAAAAACCAAGGAAGTCAATCAGCACACAACAACAGCAAGGAACCTAATCAGAGGGAATAAAACTTCTAGGTACAAAATTCCAAATGGAGAGAAAAACAGGACAATGTCTTCACAGTACACACTGTTCTAAAAAGGTAGAGACAAGAATATACTCCAAGGTAACCATGGAGAAAAGTAATAATCCCTCTAAGCAAATCCAGAAGGAAGGAAAATGTATGGATTTAATAATCCCACAACCAACAATAAAGAAGAAAAGGGAGAAAGCATTAGCTAACAAACCGATCTCAGCACAGAAAAGTATATGGATGAAGGAAACACCAAAAAACACAATAGAATGACAGCAATCAATTCATACCTATCACTAATTACACTCAATGTGAATGGACTAAATGCACCTATCAAGAGAAAGAGAGTGGCAGACTGGATAAGATAGGAAAACCCATTGATATGTTGCCTACAAGAGACCCATGCTAGACACAAAGATAAAAACAAGTTAAGAGTTAAGGGATGGAAAAAAATATAACAAGCCAATGGTAACCAAAAGAGAGCAGGAGTGGCAGTATTCATTTATGATAAAATAGACATTATGGTGAAAAACATCATAAGAGACAAAGGAGGATATTATATGATGCTGAAAGAATCAATTGACAAAGAAGACATTACAATAATAATTATTTATGCACCCAGTGGAGTGCTCCAAAATATGTGAAGCAAATATTAACTGAATTAAAGGGGATAATAGATAACTCTACAATAGTAGTAGGAGACTTTAACACAGCACTTTCAAAGAGGAACAGTTCAACTAGAAAAAAAACTCCACAAAGGTACAGAAGAACTCAACAATACAATCAACCAACTTGACTTCATAGACATAAACAGAGCATTTCACCCAACAAAAACACAATTCACATTCTTCTCCAGTACACATGGATCCTTCTCCAGAATAGACCATATGTTAGGACATAAAGCAAGCTTCAATAATTTCAAAAACATTGAAATACTACAAAGCATCTTCTTGGACCACAATGCTATAAAATTAGAAATTAATAATGGGAAGAGCAAGGAAAAAACATCAAACATATGAAAGCTGAACAATTCACTGCTCAAAAACTACTGGGTACTTGAACAAATAAAAACTAAAATAATAAAAAAGAAATTCCTAGAAACAAATGAGAATGAAGATACATCATACCAAAACCTATGGGACACAGTGAAAGCAGTATGCAGAGG